CGTCCACTTGCACGATGTCCGAATCTGCCACGCGCGCGCAATATCAATATCACATAATATCCCACCCCATGCTTGCCGAACCCACTGTATTGCCTACTCCACGCAACGAGCGTCTCCCAATGCCGCTCGGACGGGATGTCAAACAGATTTCCGACGATCGGCAATTTCGCAGGGCCGGGTGGCAAAGGGAGTCGGGAACGCTGGCGGGTCCAGCGTAGCCCAGAGAGTATGATTAGGAGGCCTGGGATGGCCCATAGTGAGGTGCTGCCTAGAGATGGTGACATAGGGGGCGGGGTAATTATGAAAATGAGGCCGCCCAGGGACCCACTTTATATAAGCACCCGGAAGTTCCCGGCGGGCCCAAACGTCGGGAAAAGACGGGAGACGGAGGGATACCTGGATACCGATCTTCCGTTGGTCGTAAGACCGCGACAGGCTCTATGCATTGGCTCTGATATAAGATTTTCAGCCATCGAAATGTTAAAAAATAATAGCTTAGAGCTCGAATGCTGCGGAGGAGAGGTTAGAATGTTTTCTGGGGGAGAGAGAGGACAAAGATAATTGAAACCAGATAAGCTACTTAGCTTCTCATCGAGCTCATCACTCGTACCTCGTCATCACGAGAGTGTCAACGGCCCATGAATAGAAATTTAATTCCCGTCGATTTGCACCAAGCCGTATATTAAAGTAAAAAGCACGCATGTCGCATGTTGGTCTCACCGATAATAATACCTCGGCCCGTCAATAAGATCCAACGCATTCTGCTCCCCCAGCGCCTGCATCCTTGTCCTTGCAACCACCGCCGCGAGCTCGCGCTGCCCCTGCTCGCGCGAGAACTGCGTCACGCGCGCGACCTTGTCGAGCATGCGCGCCTCCGCGACCTCGGGGAGGACAATGCGCGGGAGCGGGAGCGCGGGCAGCCCCGGCAGGCCGTACAGGCGGAGCACGCGCGAGAGGTTGCCCCAGTGCGCGGAGGGGTCGCACAGCATGTCGATGGAGGAGATAGCGATGAAGCCGTCGAGGGTGAGGATCGGCATCGCGGCGGAGCCCCGGCCACGCGGACGCAGTGTGTACTCGATGCTGAAGAGGTCGAAAACGCGGCGCAGCGCGGCGTCCGCGACGGCCTCCTTCGACTTTGCGCCGCGCCTGGTGAGGTTCGCAGCCCCTGCGTAGCCCCTACGTAAGCGCTGCGCGACACACGGGGGGAGGGAAGGGGTGACTCACAGGTGTTGTCTTGCGCGACGTAACCCTGGTCGCTGAGGAAGCGCGAATAGGCCTCGGGGACGAGGTAGCCCGTGCGCCCGGTGTCGAGGTAGGTGAAGAAGGTGGTCATGAGGTGCACGAAGACGGGGGTGGGGCTCATGTCGTCGTGGAAGAAGGAGCCCCATGCGTTTGGCGGCGCAGCGGGCGGGAGTGCAGGGGGTGGTGGCGCAGCGTGCGGCGGCGGAACGTACGCCGGCTGCTCATCGCGCGGGGGCATGGTGTGGGACGAGACACCCCCAGCCTCCGGTGGCGCAGCGTACGGCGGCGCAGAGTATGGCGGAGCCTCGTCGCGCGGGGGCATGGTGTGAGACGAGACGCCCACAGACGAAAGCGTGGAGACACCCGAGCTCGAGCTGGGGCGCTGGGGCAGCGGCGGGGGCATCGACACGCAGGTGCGGGACTGGTGGTAGGGGCGGGGACGGCGAGGGTGACGGAGAGGCGGGTGGCGGCGCTGGCGCCGCCATGGGTATAGCGGGCGGCGGTGAAATGGGGTTAGCGGGCTGAGCGCCAGCGTATACGATTACTGTCACCGACACGACAGGCTCCTGCCTCCCGCCTCCGCTCATCTTGAACACGCGCGTGCGGTGAGTCGCATCATGTGTGTGGGTGAACTGCTCGCCCACGGCACAGTCCGCGCAGAGGTCGTAGTCGGCGCAGTCGAGACAGTGGATGCGTGGGGCCGATGAAGCGATGGAGCGCGAGCAGCCATCGCAGCTGAAGAACATGAGTGCCATGGTGGGAGGAAGGAAATCTGCGACGTCTCCATCCGCACCCTGACCTTTAAAGACCTCGCATAGTTTCCGTGCCCTGTCGAGTGTCTCCTGTCAATTTGGTTGATCGCTACTGCAAAATGACAAATGACAAATGCTTGGCAGAGGGCGTGCCTGTGGCAGTTCAGCATTTCAGCATCCTCGTGAAGCTAGGACCTTGAGAGAACGGTGGATGCAATTGTGAGCTGGGCGTGATGTTGCATACGGTTCCATGGAAACTAATACTCACAGTTCACCACCGATAAAAAAAAACATGCGATTGCTATGATGCAATCCAACACGATGCAATGATTAATTGGAGTGCCTTGCGAGAGCGAGATCGATTTGGCCTTGATCCTATGAACAGCCACGATACGATATGCCTGTTGGGGATTGTTGGGGGACAGCGTTCGCTTGTTCTTCATTGATAAGTATCGCGTCTAGACTCGGCCAGACTTGGATTAACAATCGCGCGGGCTGAGGCTCCGTAATCAGGATGAGACCCAGCAGGTTACGGTCCACAAAGCCAAAGCCATTGTCCACGGCGTACATGCAAGTTCCGGAAAGACGGTGTTAGCAGTGCCCTTGAAAGCTGACGTGGTTTGTTGTAAGGCACAGCGATTGATGGATTGATGCGAACGCTCAACAAACCACAATAGCATTTAATTACGTCATGGCGGAAATGATCTACGGTTACCCACCAAGTACCAACACGGCCATCGAGCTCATCCGACGATTCTTTCCTGAAAAGGCCGTTCCATGAGATCGATGTAGACGATCTCCTGGGCATACTTTCTTTCTTGGATGTCGCCACGATCTTATCGGTTTTCGGAGTACATACGTCCAAAGTTTCGCATATAAATCAGTCGTCCTCTTGCTGAGAAGTGCGTTCCTAGGTGACAGGTTGTTCCGCGCAGTCGCCTCCACGATTCAACTGTGGATCTCTGTCGTCGATGATCTGGCTCGCCATGGGCTTATTGACGCCCCACCGCAAGAAATATTGAAGACATTCCCGACAATGGCACTGTTACACGAGGTGAAGTATGCGTTGGTGGGGCCAGACACGTAGACTCTGGGCTCTCTCGATCCTTCCACTCTTTCAAGGCAAATCACGGCTCCACTGCCCGCCACGGAGGGATATAACGATGCCACATCATTCGCCGGTGGACGGTATCTTTATGTATACCTTCAAGTCGGTCAAACAATCAAAACTCGAAATGTGGAGGCCTGCGAAATCTACACAGGAAGCCATATGTGGTCGTGGGGACGCGCGGGCTGCTCGGTCCACTACACGACATTCGGCTCGCGCAATGAATCTCGGGCGTTCGTGGCCATCATTTTTGACAACGAGTGCGCCATTGCTGTCTTATCTGTTCATTATAGTCTCATATTCTAGAGGCGGCGAACGCGTCTTCCTCCTTGTGGACGCTGATTTGAAAACGGGTGCAACACAGGAACTCTTTGAGCTGCGCATGTCGTCTACCCAGACTCTGTTCAAACTGTCGACGACTTCTTCGCATGTGAGGTCCCAGAGCGTGATACAGGGCCCGTTTTTCTCTTGGTCAACTGGCGTGCGGCCGAATGGATTGCGGTTGACTGCATAAACTCGGAGGTTTTGTCAATCACAGATATTGATTGTCGTGGTTCGAGGGTGTCACCCTGTGCCCTGTTTACCGGACACATTGTGCTCGCTCATCTTGCAAATGGGCCTACTAAGGTGTATTAGCACTGATAACATCCACCTTTATCGCATCCCTTCTTTCGCCCATCTGTGGAAACCGATCCGCAAGTTCAACCTAGAGGACCGGACCGACACATGGGCCATTGCACTTCTATCATATTTTCGATAGTATGGCGGGACGTTTGGCGTTGCTATGCTATGTAACAAGATGGTTGAGAGACAAAGTTACTCCTCCATCGTCCCCATAATCTTGACTGGCACTGTCTTCGTCGGTCACCGAACCCTGCGTGGTCGAGACACTTGGCATTGAAGGATCATGGTAAGACCCGTGATCTAGGAGGTTAATGAGCTTTTCCATCTCCCGTCGTTTTGTCCCTGCCGTCGGGTTGACGTCCGCGCGGTCGAAGTCGATGATCTCCGCGCGGTCGAAGTCGATGATCGCCGCGTCTCCTTCCGCTGAACATTAATGGTGGCGGTCACCGGCGCGATGGATATTCTCGAGGATGACGAGGAATTGTGCCCTGCCAAATCTGGATGAGAAGAAGGCCAAGGGCATGGGAGGAAGAGTCAACATACCGTTGCGCGGGTGAAACTGAGAATTCGACATTCTGCGGGTCTGGGCGCAAGCGTCCAGAGACAGACGCCGCAAAACGCTCATGATGGAGCTGCCTTCGAGATCCTCGAAAGGCCGTATATTTCTGGGATACCTTGAACGTTGGACTCGGCCAAGCGTCGATAGATGTTGTACTCGCATCCTCTCTTACTGATCGGCCAAAAAGGCGAGCTTGCCTACTACATTTTCTCGGTTATGCCATCCGGTATGATCACCTGGAGCATCGCCGCGTGCGTAATTCCCGTCGCCCCGGCCGCAATTTCCGAGGGGAGGGTGATAGTGATATACTCATACTCCCCGTAGCTGCGTTTGACCGGTGACTGGGTGAATAGGCACCGTGGGGGGGCACCCAAGAGTGAGGGGGAAGAACGAATGAAGAACACCGGTACCGGAGATTTAAAGACATCGTACTGGACGTTAAGCAGCACAAAATCTGGGGCACTCGCCAAAGAGCTATGCACATAAATCATCAATCGACTTGTCCTGCGACGCATCGTATTTGAATGCGGCGGAGTGTAGCTGATTGTGGCAGGTGCGTGTGGAGGTTATGTCGAACAGCGCAGAATCGTCAATATTCACATCAGCCGTAGTTGAGCCAGATCCGACTCTGCAGTATTTCGTTCATTTATGTTAGAGCGAGTATTCATAATAGTGTTTACAGAGTGAAGTGTTATTCGTGAGTAAGGCTTATATCGGCGTCATAGCTCAGTTGGGAGAGCAGCAGACTGAAGAGAATTCGGTGTTATCTGAAGGTCCCGTGTTCAAGCCACGGTGATGCCATTACTTTTAGTTCAAAGACTTTTTCTTTCTTTTTTCTGTCTTCGCCAAAGAACTCAGTAATGCGGGTTGGCAATCACATTCTATACTAAAATGACGGGGTAGCGCATCGCGCCAGGTCCTAATTAGGCAGACGGAAACAACATCTATTAGTATTCTCTGGATTGAGTTCCTTGCTCGCCATTAGCAACGATTCCACCGGTCTTGGTGCGATTAACATGTCTTGCTTCAGAGTGTGTCGAGTACTTGAGTGCGATCGATCATCCAAATTTGTCCCACGGTTGAATGGTGACTGTGCCTCCACCGAATTGGCCCGCAAGAGCCAGTTGTCGTGGGTTGAGAGAAGAAACGAAAAGGAGAGCAGAATACGAGGATGTTAAAATTGACGTGGTGATAACGGTCTCTTCCGAGCTCAACCCATCTTGTGCATTTCACCGTCGGTCTGTGGGAGTGGTAGGTCGCGAACACGCCCACATTTTTTTTTTCCAAATTTGGGTGAGAACCCCAGAGTATCGTAATGCCCTCCAGACGCCTGGAAGCAAATTCGGCAGGGGGAGACCAAGATCTGCCCAGAGCTTTTGCTGAACATTGGCAATCCGGCGAGAAAAGCTATTATGATGAAGTAGGAAACCCTCTTCCACGCCGTCGTAGGATAAACCTTTCATTCAGACTCTTGTCGGAGAAGCTCAGGCAGTGGTGTGGGAGTTCTGTTAATGGGAGCAAGAGAGATTGAAAGAAATTGTAGAGGAACTGGATACAGTAACGAAGGGGGAGCCGTCGGTGCAGGTTCCCACCAATTGGGAAATTCACAGTTAGCCGCAGTAAGGCTAGTTAGAAACGAGCAAAGGATTATAGCCCGGAGTGATGAAGGAGTCAGAGTATATGAGGGGGTACCCGCAGTCTTGTATGGAGGGGAGGCTTTTCTCAGCAACGCGAAATTAGTTATGCAGACTCAACAGAGACGTTTCCTACTTCCGCGACCATCCCCGATTTCACGAACATACGACGCGCTTCTGCGAAATGCTGCATTGCCGCTACATCCGCCCCGTCCTTCTCGGCGACTTCAGCGAATCGCTGGTGGCACTCGGCCCTTCCGCGATGAATATCCCTGCGAGTGAACTCCTGCAACCTGGAATAACGCACCGGCGGTTTCATCATTCCTGTCGTGTCGGATAATATCCCCGAGGAGCCGAAGCGCCCAACTGACGACATATCCGTTCGCCGTAGTCTTTCCGTGAGCTAGGCAAGCTGTGGTCCCGTGCGTCGCAAGGCGCGCATCGTGCACCAAATTGATGTTGCCAAGTTTGACCATGCAGTTGAAAAAGAAGTCTGCGGCCTCCCCGCGGAAGGCGAGGGTACATGTTTCGTACAATTCGATGGCTTCTGACGTTCGTCCATTGGCCAAGAAAAAGTTCGGGACAATCCTGTCGCACATGAGAGTCCCACGTAAATATCTGCATGAAATGTAAATTTGCCGAGGGAGTTGGAGCGCTGCAAGCACCTCCGCCTCAGATTTCATCCCCCCCAGGACCACGTCAATGGAAGCGATGGCAGCAAGGGAGTTTCCGTGGAAGAGGGGGAATCCGATCGCTTCGTGGGCCCGTCGTGACTCCGGATACGCCGTCTTGTATAGCTGGATATCCGCCTCGAGATCAATCGCACTGATTTCGTGCATGGTGCCGTCGAGACCGGACGCGTTGACTAGCTGTCGAACGCGGGCGCAAACTTGAACGGCTTGGGAGAAGTTCCCCAGGCCGACCCAGGCCCGCGCCTCCTGCTCCAGACACTCCGTTTCCCGGTTGAAATTTCCGATTCGCCCGGCTAAAACCTGAGCTCTGTGAGCCAATTCGAGCGTCTCCTGGAATTTGCCCTGTATCTCTTTGCAGGAGGCGACCAAGGAAAGCGCGAGATTCCGGCGCACATCGTTGTTTGCTTGGTCCGCCAACGAATACGAGATATCGGTATGATGCGATGCCGTGTTGATATCACCTAAGCAAATATAGTAGCTGGCTATGACGTGGTGCAGGCCAGCTAACAGGGGGTAAGACATCGGATGAATGAGGACGATGACTGTGGGGCACATTCTCCGGTGAGGTCGCCGGCAAGTTGGAAATATCTGCAACCCTGCGCAATCATATCAGGCGCCTCCGACGGCGTCAAAATCGTTTCGTGATTGTCACTTTGGTTAAAGCGATACCAGATATCATATTCACGCAGCCCATTGTCGTCGACCCGTTCGATGTGAGCGCTGAGACCAGTCATGAGAGTGATCCGATTCCCGTAATTCCGGACGTAATGAGACGAAAGATCCCGTAGACGACATCCTTCATGTCGGGCGCGCCGATATGCAAACCATATTGCAGGAGACCAGCAATGTTACAAGAGAAGAGGAAACACAACTGGTTCTCTATCTAATCTTCTCAAAATAGAAACATCAGTCCCGAAACAGCTAACATCTATTGGGGAATGTTTAGAGCATCAAAAATTCTTGATCCCCCGCAGTGCAAACAGCTCAGAGAACTTTTTCTAGTGTAATTTGCTTGCCGTTGTGGGTTCTTGGAGTTGGCACAAGACAAAAGGGGGAAGATGGAAGAGACGGATCAAAATCAATTTCTATGTCAAACGCAGGTGATGCGCACGGACTTTTGATGGCAGACGTGTCGTAACAAAAGTTGAACAAAAGTACCAGATGCTGCTACAAGTCAATTTCTGTCAAACATGGCAGGCAACCCATAACCTGTAAAACCCCAATTTTTTGACACCCACCGACAGGTTCCCACAAAAATGTCTGAAAACCCAAAATCTCTCATACTCCATAACCCAACTTTTGACGGCCAAAACATATGTAGTTCTGTCATTTTGCCAAATCGCCTCTGGGTGTCATATGATCAATGCCAAGTCAAAGATGTTCGAACGATTTGCCAAATCTGTTCATCAGTTGCTCTACCGGTCATGATTGGTCAGATGTTGAGAGAATGCGAATGGGGGGAAGGCACTGAAGGGCTTTGTAGAACTGGATATACCACTAATTTTGCAGCTGTATGGAGTATTGTGCCCAGCAGCAGAGGTTCGGCACAACCGGGATTTGCCGACGGCTTTCCCACGACTGCTGGAACCCATACACTGTCATAACCCATACCTTTTGGTGTCCACCGAGGGGTATGGGTTATGACAGGTTTGACTGTATACCTGCGAAAGCTCTAGAGTGGGCACAAACTTCGATGCAAACGCTTCAAGAAGATAAAATTGTGGGGAAACGACCAATCGTTACGAAGTAAGGCAGGAAAGAGATAGAGAAGACATGCACTGTTGTTGCTGTCAAGACAAAGAGCTTCCTATAAACCAAATCGTCCGAATTCCTCCATGACCTCAAACTGGCTGAGGAAGTCCTGTTTGATTTCGCCTGAGCGTGTCCAAAATGGGCCCAACCTTCCCATCAAGAGCCGCATCACGATTTTCGACTCCTCGGTATACTTGGGCCAGAAGGTTCCTGGATTGAGATCGTTGACAAAGGAGATGTAGAAGTCTTGCATCTGCGTCACGAGTTTCTGAGCGGGTACCGGGTTGGACCCTATATCCAGGTAGTAGAGGTCGTTGGAATGGAATACTATTTGTCAAAACAAAAACAAAAAAGGAATGAACACCAGCGGGAAGCGAGGAGTTAGGCTGGGACAAGAACTTGCCTCCGAGGAAGGCCGGGAAGCCGGGAATTCGTTGCTGGAAGGAATATGCCCACACGTCCTGGTTCCGCTGCTTGGCCGATGCAACCTTGAGGAATTGGCGCTGAGGAGCCAGGAACCCATTATCGTTGAAGAACTCAGCAGCACGGTCGTAGAGGGTACTATTCGATACTCTCTCTGGGTGGGCGTACAAACCGAGGAGTTGGGTGATAGCTTCCTGAGACACATTCCTAATTGATTGTCCGGCGATGAAGCCGCTCAAGATGGAATTTTCTTCTTCGATGGACGGCTGGGGGGAAAGATCAAGTAATGACGCGCCAATCAGACTTGAAGAGTCAGTGAACGAGGTTGGAGAAAAATAAATCGAGGAGCTCACAGGTTGCCTTCATTAAGATTCGTGCCAGTGATAATAGGCAAAGTCAGGAAGTCGCCGTCAAGGGCCTTCTTGGCGGGGTATTCGTCGATGAAGGAGCCTTGAGGGCCTTTACAAGTCATCGACCATGGTGGTTGATTGCCAACGGGAGGCTGGTAGGTGGACAATGCCAATGGCCAGAATGTCTACAAAGTTGAATTTAGGATTGCTGCCCAGATGCAAATTCTTCGCTCAACGTACATCGAACGGGAGATCCTGCAAACACCTGAACGATGCTGCACCGGAACCACAGCCCGTAATATTACTCAAAATGGTGTAGCCACCGCCTGGGCGATCATGCCACTCGCACGGTACAGTGGCAAGGACTTGAGAAGTACCGGAGCTAGATATCCCAGCGCGGAATGTCTTCCTGGAGTCGGGGAAGAGGTAATGCATGTGAACACCACCTGCGCCTATATATCAAAACAGGTGAACATTTGTAAAGAGGGATCATGAACGAACATACCGGCAGATTCACCCGAGATGGTGACGCGCGAAGCATCGCCTCCAAAATTCGCGGCATTATCTTGAATCCATCTAAGGGCGTCACGTTGATCCTGGAGTCCAACGTTCAAAGCTGAATTTGGAGCTTGGGCGCTGCCAATCTGCATAATATATCTAAGGGTTACTGTCTGAGGAGCTGAAATCGGGTGCTCACGAATCCAAGAACTCCCAGGCGATAGTTGAATGTTATGAAGATGATTGGCTTATTTGTCGCAATGCTACGACGGACCAAACCGGTGCCATCCCATTCGGAGCCAGACCCCTCGAAGTACCCACCGCCCTGATAGAATGATAAGAAGGAAGCGAATGCCAATAGTAAAGGGATACAGACATGAAGGTAAACCTGAATGGGTAGTTTCTTCTCGATCGAGGTCGATGCAGGCCGCCAGATCTGCAATAGCGACATT